TGTTCTTGTTTTTTTTGAGACTGGATCTTTTCAGAGGATCTTGTAGTTCAGAATGGCCTTGACCTCACCCAGGCTGGCCGCACACAAGGATCCTCCTGCGGCAGCCTCCCAGGTGCTGAGATTACAGGTGTGCACCCGGCTTCTCTGGCCTTTTTGTGAGACACTGTTTATAAATCCCTCTTAAAGGCTCTGCCGTTTAATGCCCTAGCATTGAGGGTTGCATTTCACAGTGAGTTACAGTAGTAACCTTTGGGGAGAAGGTAAGACCCTGCAAAGCAGAAAGGGAAAAAGCAATCTGTGCAAACTTCTCTATAGCAAATGGACTACACAAAAAGCAAACTTGTTTCAGCTAATATTCCCTAAGAACAGTGGTAATATTGGAAAAGGTCCCATCGTTTGTTGCTAAATATCTTTTGGGTACCTGTTTTGCCTTTCATTTTTTTGTGGTGTATGTGTTAAAATATATATAACAAAGTCAGACCTTGGAGCCGTAACTAAGCATCCTGCTGCCCGCCCTTAGGCCTGTTCACACTGTTGAGTCACCGCTGCCCATTCTCAAGGCAGCTTGTTGTCTCCAGCCTATTACCCAGCTTATGCCAAACATTCAAATTTGTGGAACTTTGGTATTAAATTTTTATATGTTACCTAGATCATCAAAGAATAAGAATTTGAAGACATTTCATTATGTTTCATTGGTTTTGGTTTTCCAAAAGTGGATCAGTATGCACTTAAGGGTTCATAATAGCTCTTCCTTCTTTCCTTTCTTCCTTCCTTCCTTCCCTACACCTGGTAATTTCTGGTGCACTATCTGACCATAGGGATTTGTTCTAGCTACCTGGTAAAAGAGGCATATAAATTATAGTTATTTGTCTTTTGCTTCTGGCTTACTGCAGTTACGATACTGTCATCAAGGTTCCTCCACACCGCATCATGTGCCCACATTTTATTCCTTTTTAGGCCGAAGTTTTTTCCGTGTAATGTGTACCACTTTATGTAGTGATCTGGCAATGGACGTTTGGACTGCTCTCCCTGTTGGCCTTTGCACATAATGCTGCTGTGGTGATTTGTGTGCACACATCTGTTTCAATGTTTGCTTTCAGTATTTTGACATATGCTGAGCAATGGAACTGTCGGATCACATAGTGACTATGTTTTGCTTTTTGAAAACATACCACACTGTTCTCCAGCAACTGTACCATTTATGTTCTTGCCAGTAGCCCAGTTTCTAGTTTCCCCTTACCCTTGCCAGCACTCTTTTATTTTTGGCCTGTAATTTTTACTAAGCAACCAGTCATTTTCATGCTTCACATACCATATGGGGCTGTAAAAGTGAATTATTGCAAAACTTTTAAGTAAAATATTGTCAATTTCTGTGTTACTGATTATTGGTTTGTTTGTTTGCTTGTTTGTTTGTTTGTTTTGTTTTGTTCTTTTCAGAACCAGGAATTGAACTCAGGCCCTTGTGCTTACCAGGGAAGCACTGAATGCTTATGTTTTAAACGTTTTGGTTCCTGAGTTATCACATAGGTTTATGCAGAAATAATATGGTTTTTAGTTACTAATTTATTATGTATGTGTAGGTTACACAGAAATCGGGGATATTTTTAAAACTTGTTTAAAAATATCACTTCCTGACTATATAAATTGATTATATAAGTTTTGATTCAAGATATAACAGCTTGCCGTTGCATTTACTTTCTATTTATTGGACTATTTTCTTTCATAAGGTGCAAGAACTATTTCTCCATGATTATGGAGAGATTTTTAATGTCCAGTTACCAGGCAAAGAGGAACGGACAAAATTTTTTGAAGATTTAATTCTAAAACAAGCTGCTAAGCCTCCTGTATCAAAAAAGAAAGCAGGTTAGTTAATTACATCCAAGTATAATAGACAAGACAGTATGCAATGTGTTAATTATTGAAACTGTCCTACCAATTTGATTTGAAACTGTCTCATTGCTATTTGTCAATAAAATTATGGGGAAATAAATAAAATATAATAGACAGCAATTTTGGGGACGTGGTAGTTAACTACCAGGGGTTTTTTTGTTGTTGTTGTTTTTTAGGGGGGTTTTGTCTTTCTGAGATGGAGTTTCACTGTGTAGTTAAAGCAGGACTTGAACTCACTTTGTACCCCAGGCTGGTCTTGAGCTCATACCAATCCTCCTGCCCCAGCTTCCTGAGAACTGGGAAGTTGATGGTATTGACAGATGTCCAATAGCACAAGTTCAAAGCCTCAGTCATGAAATTGATACAGCAGCTGCTGGAAAATCTGTGCTCTTCCCAATAGAGTTCTTAAGGCACACAAGATGTTTCATAGTATGGCCCCAGTCTATCCTTCCAGGAATATTTTTGGTATTTATGTTTTCCCTTTCTCTTACCTGTTTCTGTTAGAAAACATTTTCTTTATATACAACATATTCCCATTCTTATAATTTCACTGTCAGTAATGCTTCCATAGACTTTATTTCTGCCTATGATATCTATTTGATCTTTTACTAGAACTAAAAGTTTTTATTTATAAGGCCTTTCCTGATTCATCTGGGCAAAATTAACTGATCCATCATACTTTTCTTTAAACAGACATTGTAATATTATAATTATGTCCTTTAAATAAATTGCTAGTTATTGGGACAAATCTCATATTACTCCTTGTATCATCTATACTTGGTGGTTTGTTTTTGTTGTTGTTGTTGTTGTTGTT